CGAGGGCACGCGCGTCTGCCTGAACGGGGTGAGGCTCAGCCACACTTCGAACTGTGACGCCACACACGTTTTCTATTACTCAACAAATCAGGGAGCATTTGAAAGTGTGCAGCAATCCTGCAATGCTGGTCTGCAAAGGCAAATGCTTAACCTTTGGAACTGCAATGGGGGGAAAAATGAGCACATTTTGATGCTTCCAGGCTCTTGAAGGTCGCCCTACGTATGTTAGACTTTAATTTAAACTTATTCTGATTTGGTTATGTTTTGGTTTCAGCTTGTGTTACTTCAGACATTTGCTATTAATTAGATGAAACAAAGCAGCTTTATTTCCAAACAACAGCCTCTTTAACCAGGAAATTACTGGGAAATTACTGAATCCATCTCACCACACCTCCAATTCCTCAAACGTTTCTCCAGCATTCAATACACTTTTCTTTCTTGGGGAATTTGCTCCAGCTGTGATTGTTGCGCCATCCCTCTTGAAATTGTTCTGATTTATCATGACCTGAATCATAAAAAAATGCTTCAGGGAAACATAATTTCTAAAAAAATAAAGGGGGGGGGGAGGGGAAACTAATTTTCGGGTGTTCATTTATGTTTTTTAATAAAAATTGCGTTTGCAATATTCATCTAGATGCGATACATTTTGGTTTATCACCTAATTAGAACCAGATTAGAAACTGAAGCTGAAAGAAACAAACTAGGGAACAGATTGTGGAAAAACATCAACATGGAAGATGAAACCAAAGCAAAAAACGAAACAGAAACGATCCAAACAAAAGCAGATGATTAATTTATATTCATAAAAAACAATCATCAGCAAAGACAAAGACATAAATAAAACAGTTCAAATTCCACTATTTGATCCCCTATGGTGCCATTTTCTCTCTTCCTCTTCCCATTTCGGTCAAATAAAGAAACATTTCTACCCTGATGTACCAAACCACTGGAGTGTAGTTTCTCTTTAGTAATGCAGTTATGATATTCACGTTTTTAATTAATTATTTTGGTTCATTTAGTTTGTGTTTTCTATAGCCATTGTGCTGTATGTGGGTCTGATTGGGTTATTTTGAGCCATTTTGGGACGTCTTCAGCATTTATTTTGAAAGGTTTGGTTGTTGCTAGTGGCCTTTATTTAGCCGTTGTGGGTCAGAGAGAAGGGGAAGACTTGTGGCAAAGGTCATCAGAGGACTTGAAACCTCCATCCATGCGTTGTGCTTTACCCCTGCGCCCATCCTTCCGCATTTTTAAATTTTTCTGTTGATTTTTTTATGATCTCTTTTGCCTGGTTACGATTACAGGGGAAGTAAAAAAAAAAAATCAAAATTTGTAGAATGTATTTTATTTGACAAAGTCTTCAAATCTTTCTTCAAAACAACAATAAAAATAAAGTTCTCATTTCAAACATTTTTTCACCTATTTCTCACAAAAATTATACTGTTAATCATAGATTTCTTTCTAAACTGCTGTGGTGTTCCTAAAAGTATTTTACAGCTCAGACTTAAGCAACGGAGTTTTCAAACAACTTTCAAACAATTTGAAGGTTTCTCTTAGTGTGTTTGCGACTGGTGAACTTGTCAACATGTACCGTCGGGAGTTGATCCTAAGCAGCCGCAAAGTTTGCGACTGCCTCCAGCCGGCTCCGTCACTGTGTATTTGATGTACGATCAACAGAAAACATAAGACAAAAACAGCAAAACAACGACATGGTGGAGGGATGAACTGACAACATCTGGTTCAGTTAACCGGATTCTTTGAAAATGTCAATAAATATTGAACATTTTTTACAATCTGTTCAATGCATGATGGTGAAACCTGAGCTTGAGGTGCTGACCTACTTCAATCGGCGTGAATGCATCAATGCATTAATTGAATGGAAAAACCAGACTGATCGTTTACCGTCCTTACCTTTCGCCACCTGTGCGGAGGAGGTCTGAGTGTGTGCTTCTCCCCGCAGGTCTGCGCTGAGTCTGTGTGCGTGAAGCACGGTCTGCAGCAGTGTGACTGTCCCGGAGTCAGCATGAAGGAGAAATGCCACATGTGCTGCCAGCAGCCCGGTAAACACAGAACCTTGTGTCCTCCAACGCCGAGCAACATGTTTACAGCTCTGTGTCCCAACAGCTCGGACCGTATCAGCTCTTCCAGATGTTACCTCCGTCTGACCTGATGTTTTCTGGGCAATAAATCAAGTTGTGTTCCTAATGGAGCTGTTTTTGTATGGAGATTTGAAACAATACGGACTGGATTTAGATCTTAACTCTGAATGCTACAGCATTTAACGGCCTGTGTATGTTTCAGGTAAGCCGATGACGTGCGCCAGCACCTCCTCCTCTGTGCTGTCCCGTCACTTCCAGACGAAGTTGTTGCCCCTGGTCGGCGGCGCGCCGTGCTCAGGGAACCAAGGATACTGCGACAGATTCCACGTGTGTCGCCTCCTGGATGCGGACGGCCCGATCGCCAGACTCAAGAACTCTTTCCTTCATTTGGATGATTTTGATGATGTGGGGGAGTGGATGAAGGTGATCTCTTATTTATCTTTTTCTTCTTTTCCTTTCCAGACACCAAGCATCTAAACAATAAGCCAAAGAGGTTGAAAACTGACTAGATGTCAGTATAATGACTGAATGTTGTAGAAAGGTTTCAGCGAAAAACTAAATCTAACCAAGTATGTTGGTACAGGTTCCATCGCACATATTTTAAAACATAGTTATTCCACCGGCAGATGTTTTCATGAATGGATACAATCTACCTGTACTTGTAATCAATATTCAATAATTAGCAAGCTTTTTTATCTTCTAGATAGAGTCCGTTTTTCATGAGCAAATACACCAGCAATATACCATCACGGTTTCTTACTTTTTTTTTATTGAGCAACATAATGTAACTGTTGAGGTCACATTTTTGACTGTTTCAATGAAAAATTGAGAAGTGGAGCAAGATTTTACTGAGCAAGACTCTTTTTGTTGTTCTTGCCCACAGTACAGGCACTCCCAGATTAAAGATAGACATCACAGACAGGATGACCGACGTAAACGCACAATTATTCTCAGGGACCGGCTTACCACTTTTAATAATTTGGTGTAGCTGAATATCTTAGCTCTAGTTTTCTGACATTACCTTTAAGTAACAGATTGTCAGCTTTTGTTAAGAGTTTTGCTGGGTCAGATTTGGAAGAAAATGAGCAAATCTTTGTTTATTGTTGCGTCCTGAGCCTGTGTATTTGTGTCGGTTCTGTTGCAGCTGTCGTTAAGGTTTCGTTTTACGCTACAGTGTTGAGAATCAGGAATGCTCATTTAGGCCCTGCAGGGTTTCTGTGACCCGTTTCCCTGGACAGGACCCGTCATTATCAACTCTTGGTGGTGTTTTACCAAGAGTTGCAAGTTTTTAATTGACATGTAATTCCCACTGGTAAAATAAATCGTGTTAAAAAAACAAAACAAACGGTTGTTACATCATACCTATTGTTGTTTAGACCAACAGTTTATATGACAGAAAAGGTACATTTGGCAGATGATAAACATGCACTGCCACATTTTAGCGATGCACCTCTTTCCACCTGCAGAGTGAAAACCTGGGCAAAGTGCAGACATATAGGCAAGACATAAAAGGAGAAAATGGGTGAAATTATATGCATGGCATGAAAGAATAACTGGCCTGTTTTTAAGATTTTAATAGTGACTCGTCCTCTTCTGTAAACACAAGTTGTCTGGAGTTAACTAAATGTGCTTCTTATACTTAAATCTGAACAAATGTCTTTTTTCCCCTCTCTGCAGGCTCATTGGTGGGCCATCCTGATTGCTATCCTGGTTCTGTCTGGAGTGATGGGCTGCGTAGTCTGCCTGTGTGGCAGTCCCTTGAACACTCGTGACCTGGACACACCCACAACTACTCCCACTTCAAGAAATGCCATTGAATTATAATATAAAAATATATTTATTACTCTTGTGTGATGATGAGGGGGAAATTAAAGTATCCGAGCCGCACTTGAATGATGCATTTAGACAGCCTTGTGTTGTGTTGCAATCGGAGGTCTGCAAATGACCTCTGTGGGGGCGAAACACCTGCTCAGCTCCCCTCATGCCGGTTTGTCACCAGATACCTCTGAACGTCACAATGTTTTTGGCTTTGCTTATTCCTGGAGGGGTTGATTCTCAGTAAGGCTCCTGGGATACATGTGCTGTGGAAAATGTTTCCAGCAGCCCTGTGCATGTGCAGGTTTCCTCAAAGGCTGACACACGCTGTGACTCTGAAGTCGCAATGTAAAGGCACCTCAACACTTCAGTGTAAAAATTGAGTGTACCTTCGCTTTGGATTTCAACCAGCTTTCCATCTTAGTGCAAATTAATGAACAGGACGTCAGGAATTTGTGCTTCAAGTTGTGTACGGGGGAAACGGGTGGCTGAGCTGCCTGGTTTATTCTCGTCTGTATTCAGACTTTATTATTTCCTCAAAAGAAATTGAGATTTCATATGAAAAAACAGGAAGCGGAAAAAAACGTTGTGAACTGCAAGCAAATGATGATTCAGTTCTCAGCATTCAATCTAAATTGCTGCATTTGTCTTCAACTCACTTTACTCTGATATCCATCCATCCAGCTACTGTCATCCATGTCCCTTGTGGGGGCAGGAGGAGCACTTTGTGCCTATCCTGATTTCCCAAAATAAAATTAATTCTAACTGAATTCTGGCTTCAATCTTCTGAGATAAAATTCAAAGAAAAATATCAAAATTTTTACTTCTCAGAATTAAAGTCAGAATAATTCAGGGTAAAAAAAAAAAAGTCAAAATTGTAAGAAAAATTCAGATTTTCTTTTTCTGTGGTCCTAATTTTCTTCGGGTGGAAACTGCTTTTATTTGACAGAATATTATTTAAACACGCAACGGTTATTTTCAAGGTTCTATGCATGTGTCCTTTTGGGCCACTAAACTTTGACAGACTGGATTCCGCCTGCGGACTTCGAGTTTGACCTTTCAGATTTTTATTACAAAAAAAATAAAAAATCCCAAGTTGTATTTTTCCTTTCACTTAATGTTGCACAACTTTCTATTCTTAATGTGCCATAAATTCACAAGAAAAGGCACTAATGAATGTATTTTTAAAGGTATTGTATAATATAACAAATATGAGAAAAGAACCAAGAAATAATTTGGAATAAAAACAATTTTGTCATTACTACTACTACTACTGAAAAAAAAATAATAAGTTTCCAAGTGTCTTAGTTAGATTCCTCTCTGTGTCTCCTTGAGACAGCCGGGAGAAAAACAAAACCATGTGCGTCACAACAGTAAGAACGTGAAGAAACAATTCATCCCAGTTTGGGTCATCTCAGGCTTTGTTGCTCTTTTAAATCAGAAATGGCCATGTGAGAGTTTAACCTGTTCTTCTTGAATCAAAAACAAATTTGAATTTGGTAATAAAGTGTCGGCAAAAAATAAAATTTTCCATCGCAATTTCAAACTGAAGTAGACAGCTTAACTTTGGCAAATATTGTTTATTAAAGAATTTATACAGTACAGTGTTTGACTCCTTTACAAATATGTACAAAAATGATAGAAAAACATTCATCTAGACAAAAATATAAGACAGTGGTTCTTAATAAAAACATTGTTACGGTATTTAGATAGATTTACAGTACATGGAAAATATTCTCTATTTGTGCACATGTGTAAGATGCAACATAAAGTCACAATGATAACAGTACCGATCTCTGGAGAGGTGAGGATAACAGTTGAATGAATGAAAACGAACCAAAGGACACAGAAAATACTCAAAACTAGCATCACATGCTTATGAAATATATATCAACAGTTTGCTACATCTTTTTGTCACAACAGAGCTATACAGTAGCAGCACAAACTACAACACAAAACAGCTTCGGCTGCTTTGGTTCCTTCAGTAAAAGTCATAATTCAAAATGACGACTTCATTGCACACCGAGGTGAAAAACTGAGAAAACCATAGAGAGAATATGTGGTGAGTGTTTGCACTAAGCAGTGGTGAATGCTAAAAAATTTTTATGGTGTCTGTATATATTTTATGACATTACTACCTGCAGATCCAACCTGGTAAATCCAGTCAGGCAGCTCAACTTGAGCGATCCTTTAAAGTACATCCGAGTTTGTAAGTTTCCATTCGAAAATGTTCAACCTTTACCCTCTTTACACCAAACAACCATGTTTTTCCATTCGTCTATGACCCATAAAAATAACCTCCAAGTCCTTGGAAATATAAACATCCACACTGATTAGGTTTTATCAGCCACTACGAGTCTTTGCCAATTGTTTTCTAAAACAAAGATATCAGTTTTAGGACAAGCAGTAAAGAAATGTTTCTAATTAAAGTTATACCACTGCTGTGCATCAAGGTGTAATAGTGCCATAAATAACTTACTTATTTTATAAATACTTTATTTCAATGACAATAGTTATGCATCATAAAAAAAAGCTTTTTGCAAGATATTTTACAGCATTTACATGAATTACTCAACATCTGTAGATATATATACAAGGGGTTTTTTTATGTCAGAAAGATACAAACAGTGTATAAATTATGTCCTAATTGGTCAAATTTTAAACAACATATTTTCCTTATCGTCAGTCATTCTTCAGAGTTACTCTGCAGGATGAAAGAGCTCATGGTCACTGTTCAGCTTTACAGAAATACAGTGATAGAGAAAACAAAGACCAACTCACCTCTTTGAAATTGGTTTACGTTTCATTCTCCATTCATTTTTACATTTAACAAATGTGACCAAGTGTGAGCTGTGGGCATCGGGGTCTTTCAAACAGAAAACCATCCTGAAAAAGAAAGTTAGTTGATTTGATGTGACTCTTTATCGATCTTCATTAACAGGCCCCAAACTTAAGTAAATGCCAACACTGACTTTATGACAAAGCTGCTTGGATGTTGGGATCCATTTCTGTTCAGAAGTTGACATTTCTGACTTCAACACGAAGCCCAACATGACATCCTCTCACTTTAGAAACTGAAATCAGCAGCAGTAACAAACTTTTTATAACCTCCTCTGTTACTTTGTATCTAACTGAATCAGTTGCTCCTGAAGGTAACTGCACTGGTATCGCTGTGTCCTGTTTGTGATTGGCTGGTGACCGGTTCATGTCCCACCTTCCGACCAATGACAGATGTGGAACCAAACACAAAGCACTCCTATTGCCAAACTAAATTTTCTTAAAAAAAAAAAAAAAGAAAAACTAATGCATCAATCTGCAAAATGATGGTACAATTTTGTAGACAGAAAAATCAGCTACATGTAGATTTCAACAATATTTTAGGAAAAGAATATTTCGTTTTTGCACCGGTGGAAGAGGCTTCACCAATCTCAACTTACTTTTGTTGCGTCTCGCCACTTTTGATACGGATTTTGTGAACCTCCACACCGTCGGCGTTCCCAGACCACCAAGAGGAAACCATCTTTAGCAGGTTGGACACCGACCAGCTGTTTGTCTCCATCCACTTGAACTTCAACATCAGCAGGTCGCCGATATCCGTTTCAGTGACCAGAAGAAACGAATGTGTCCTGTTTGTCTCCAGTCTTTCCTTCCTAAAAACACCAAAGGAATGTCACTGCGAATAAAATGGTTCCTTTATCTCCGGCTTGAGAAACGGGCATCATAAAACATGATGGCGCTGATTAAGGAAAACCAAATGAAGTTAGGTTAATGTGTCTGAAGCTACTGTTTAGGTGTTACAAAACTACACTCATGGTGCTAAAAGTCACTTCTATAAAGCATTTAAAGTTGCTGACTCACAGCTTAAGCTCCAGGTTTTCAGCCTCTCCTTTGGTTCCATACAGAGAGACAGTGAGAGACGGCTCCATCTCTGAAGCGTTCACTTTACTGGAGAAGTGGATCTTCAGCTGGTAATGGTAAACTATCAGGACATTGAGAGAAGGTGACATTTAGAAAGCTGAAAATGTGCAGAGGATTAAATTAAGCTTCAAATAATCAAGAGTTTTGCAACCAAAATCTCAACAACGACTAATCTCTTTTCCAAACAAACATGACTTGCCTTGTTTGTGTAATATGAGCAGCACATTTAACCCAGTTAACGCTTGCACGCCTGTTGCTGGCCGGTTTTACTGACCTCTGAAAGGCATGGAAGCTCGCGTCTTGGTGTACATCTGAACGCTGTGCGGCCTGCGGATTTGGCTTGTGCTGTAGCCGACAGTGTTGCAGCGGCCCTTGCGACAGCTCAGACACATGCCGCGGTCGAACATGTCGTTGCTGCCGCACTGGTAGGCCTTGGCAGGTTCCTGCTCGTTCAGCAGCGAGTCGATGAAAAGATGGATGGAGCGCTCGTGTTCGCACTTCACCGCGTCATTGATGGCTGAGGAGCAAATGAATAAAGGAACGCGTCTTAACAGATGGAGATAAAACGATAAAATAAAAGACCGTTTGCTTCATTGACAGACCATGGAAGGTAAAGAAAGCAAGAAAAAAAATCTTAAGTACACAGGCTTGTGTTTTGACCTAAATGTTCAATATGTTGGGTTGATGGAGGTATATCTCCACCCTAATTGTTAACACTCGATTACAAAAACATTTGTTTACAACAGCCCTAAAAACACATTTAGCTCAAATTAATTTCTCAAAACTGACTGTCTCCTCCGTCCATGCTGAAAAAAAAGCATGTAGACATAAAGTCTCCCCTGTCCGACGAATGAACTTTTTTAAAACATTTGTTTCTTTTATATCTTTCATGCCTGTATGTTAACATCTCTTTGTCTTTTGACTGTTTTTGCTAATATTAAAATTTTTCTTTTCTGTCCTGTAAATATTTTCGAATGACCTTGTGTATGAATGGTGTTGCATAAAACTTATTTCTCCGACCCGTCTACTTGACACACAATGTCAACTTGTTTTACCGAGAACAAGATTGTTTTGAAGACAAAAGTGTTTTTAAAAGCCCCAGTAGCAAAGTGTAAACAGAATCTTTACCAAATATCCCAAAGTTAGCGATTTTCTCCAAGGCGCCCCTCATGTTGCAGCCCGGTTGGAAGCTGCCCCCGTTGGGGTAGATGTCCACGTGGCCGATGGGCTGCTGTATCCCGATGCTGAGACCCAGCGAACCCTGAGTGAAGGTGTGGAGGACGTCCACGAAGTGGGCGTCATCTGGAGAGAGGCGCCTGTGGGCGTGTTCGCCCTCAAAGTCAGGCCCAGCTGGATCCAGCCCTTCAGAAAGAGAAAAGCAATGCAATAAGTGGGATTAATGAGATTTCACGTTGTCAATTTGCTCGTCTTTTTTATTTGGTGCTTTTGTTTTGTTATTGGTAATTTAATTGTTTACCCGTAATCCGTCCAACTTTGTTGCTGGCATGGCTGCCAGCAAATCCAGCCACATGAGCGCCCAGGCTGTAGCCGATCAGGTGCAGCTTGTCAAGAGGCAGGTTGGTGGTTTCCTGTCAAAATATAAATACTTAATAAAATCCCATCAGTTTGGAATGAGTCACAAAAGGCTTAGGACTCAAGAAAAATCACAATGAGGGCCGTTATCTACAAATGCAGAAAACCTAGAGCAGGTCAATCTTCTAAGAAGTGGACAGCAAACTAAAACTACAAAAGGGAAGAGAGCAGCAACAACTCATATTCACACAAAAAAAAAGAAAAAAAAAGTTCAGCAGGCTTCCCTTGACTCCATTAAGGTCAGTGTTTGTGATTCAACAACAAGATGGTCTTATCAAAGACAGACCTTAAAGATTCCCAAACACTTTGGGAAAATATTTATTTGTAGGTGGAGAAGACAAAAAAAACAAAAAACTTTTGTATATATGCGTCTCATTATATTGGGCGCAAAACAAATACAGTTTATTAAATAAACATCATCAACAGCTAAAGAACATAGTTTTATGATGGACTTTGACCACAAATTCTGTTCTCTGGAAGCAAAAGGGTTTAATGTCTGGATATCAAACTGATTACTAAAAGCTCAAAAAATGTGAGATAATTATCAGAGAAACACCAGCAACTCCACCTCTGCCTGGTAAAAAAACAAAACAGGGTTTCAGAGTGGCCTACTTCAAGTTCAGACTTAAATATTAGCATAAACTTGACGAGACTGTTCGCACTTCAAATCCCTCCGATGTGCCTCAAAACAAGGAGGCGGACCTAAAATTCATCAACCATTAGTTTTTAGGTTACTTAGGACCAGGTTGGCTTTTTTCCATTCAATCAGTCAAATCATTATTTAACAGTGCATGTTGGTGGTTTTCATTTGATAGTAAAAACTATTTAATCATTTGAAACATTCCAGTCTAACAAAAAAAAAAAGAAGAAACGGGAAAATATATTTGCCAAACACTGAACATTTTTAAAGCGTGAGCCGTAGCATCAAGATTATTAGAGTACTTATTTAACATCTTTCTACCAAAACAATAAATAGTTTCAAGTGAATTATTCACAAAGCAAAATCAATTTTAAAAAAGTGTAAAAATGAAAGAGAGGACCACTCACCTCGATCCAGTCAATGAAGCGTGCAATCTCTCTTCCCACTGCTTTGGTTTTCTGAACTGCGACCACATAGTGGTTCTGAGCCGAGCTCAGCCAGTCCACCACAACAACGTTGGCCGTCCGCTCCCTCTCGTACAGCGCAGACACCAACTTCGGCATCCAGCTTTCAAACATACCGCTCAGCTGTCAGCAGAACAGTTAGAATGTTTGTTTTTTTCCCCATTTAAAATGAGTCTAAAAGTACTTAGTGATAACTTTTAAGTAGTTTCTAGCATGCGTTTTAAAAGTTGCTGTGCTCACCGTCCAGCCGTGGATCACCAGGAAGGTTTTGGCCGTGCTGTTGAAGGCGCAGGCTGCCAGGGTCTCTGGTTTCCCGGGAACGATGTAGCAGAGGTCGTCGTCGGGATGGGATGGATCACGCAGGGAGAATTTTGCGATAGCCGAGTGATGTTCATCCTCGTCAAACAGGTCTTCCAGGGGGTCAAGGAAGTTGCCTGAATAAAATTAAAAAAAAGGATAAAAGGATTTATTTTCAACAAATGGCAGAAAGCCTGACTAACTACAGAAAAATCCCAGAGTGGTTCTCCGGGCCTGGACAGACTTCCACATTCTCTTCATTTTTCCCCCCCCACCTTTGTTCCTGCTGTCTTAGGCTATAATTAGTTGTTTTTTTTGGTCCAGAGATACTTGTCTGCTCATTTTACCCAACTCGGCTCAGATTGAGCTGATTTTCACAGCAGCAAACTCAGACACTTGTAGGTAAAGTATTGACTTCAATAACTTGATAAGTGCTTTCCAACATTATTAACCTTCTTTAAGCATTCTCCAGCTTTTGGCCTCAGAGATCCCTGTATTGTATTAGGATTTATGTAATAGACTAACAAAACGGATTACATAATTGTGACTTTCCTGTGTTTATCCTAATCCATAATCAACTCTGACCAGAAGTTGGTCCTTCTTAAGAATTCCCACAGCATGACGCTGCCACCACCATGTTTCACAATGGTGATGGTGTCCACAGAGTGACTTGGACCAGCACAGCTTCTTGCATGTCAGCAGAACAAGTAATTATTTTTATCTTACTTTATCTTGGAGCAATATTACAAAGTTAATCAATTAGGTTATTTTAGTTCATTTACCTTTACTGGATGTTATTTTTCAGAATTACTGGTGTAAAGGGACCCGATCTAAGCACATCCCACATTTCAGATTCTTTGGAATCATTCAGAATGATGTACTTTGTTGCAGTCTGCTACAAAGCATGCTTTGCGAGGCCCTCCACACTGACGTTATCAGGATGGAGATCATGATTTCCTTAGGCACAAAAAGCTTTTCATATGACAAAAGTAACACGCAAACCCACAGACATTGAATCATTACTTAATGAGTGAATGATTGTTGGGCTGCATGCTTTATTGCTCTGCAGGCTTGTTAATATGCACCAGGGTAAATGTGAACTCACCAAATGAAGAATCAGCCGGATCTTCTCCCTGGGAAGTCACTTTTTGCGCATCCGCATTCAACACCACGAAGCACAGAAGCCAAAGTTGCCAGGCTCTCATCTCTTCCAGCCACAGATCCTCTGACAGAATGGCTCTAATTGACGCGAGTCCCACGATGGACGGACTCCAGTTCCCGTCTTGGTGGGCGTTTAGCGCTGTCGTCTGGGCCGCATTGGACTGAATGCGTCTTAAATAGCGCCTGCGAACTTCTGCCTCGTCATTGGCTGCGGAGCTCCGGGCGGAAGGTAAATGATTGGGCTGCGTCATGGGAAGAGCAAGCAGGAGCAGCTTCATGAGAAACAGCTGAGCAAAGCTGCTGGTCCAGGTTTTAGGTTACATTCAGCAAAAAAAAAAAAAAAAAAACGGGCCCGGCGGGATTGTTGACTAACTTTGCTCATTTACAGTTTCGCATGTAAATTAGATAAAAACACTGAGCCGTGTACTTCACACAGAAACTACAGAATTCATCCGCAGAAACGACAACTTTACTTTTGTAGGATTAACTTCAATTAAAGTTTTATCTATATCTATATATCTATATCTATATATATCTATATCTATCTATCTATATCTATCTATCTATCTATCTATCTATCTATCTATCTATATATATATATATATATATATATATATATATATATATATATATATATATATATATATATATATAGGATATACATATCTATCTATATCTATCTATCTATCTATCTATCTATCTATCTATATCTATATCTATCTATCTATATATATATATATATATATATATATATATATATATATATATATATATATATATATATATATATATATATATATATATATATATATATAAAAGAGGAAAGCCTGCAAAACAATGTCTAAAGTTCAGCAGGCTTCCCTTGACTCCGTTAAGGTCAGTGTTTGTGATTCAACAACAAGATGGTCTTATCAAAGACAGACCTTAAAGATTCCCAAACACTTTGGGAAAATATTTATTTGTAGGTGGAGAAGACAAAAAAAACAAAAAACTTTTGTATATGCGTCTCATTATATTGGGCGCAACAAATACAGTTTATTATAAACATCATCAACAACTAAAGAACATAGTTTTATGATGGACTTTGACCACAAATTCTGTTCTCTGGAAGCAAAAGGGTTTAATGACTGGATATCAAACTGATTACTAAAAGCTCAAAAAATGTGAGATAATTATCAGAGAAACACCAGCAACTCCACCTCTGCCTGGTAAAAAAACAAAACAGGGTTTCAGAGTGGCCTACTTCAAGTTCAGACTTAAATATTAGCATAAACTTGACGAGACTGTTCGCACTTCAAATCCCTCCGATGTGCCTCAAAACAAGGAGGCGGACCTAAAATTCATCAACCATTAGTTTTTAGGTTACTTAGGACCAGGTTGGCTTTTTTCCATTCAATCAGTCAAATCATTATTTAACAGTTGCATGTTGGTGGTTTTCATTTGATAGTAAAAACTATTTAATCATTTGAAACATTCCAGTCTAACAAAAAAAAAAAGAAGAAAACGGGAAAATATATTTGCCAAACACTGAACATTTTTAAAGCGTGAGTCGTAGCATCAAGATTATTAGAGTACTTATTTAACATCTTTCTACCAAAACAATAAATAGTTTCAAGTGAATTATTCACAAAGCAAAATCAATTTTAAAAAAGTGTAAATAGATAGATAGATAGATAGATAGATAGATAGATAGATAGATAGATAGATAGATAGATAGATAGATAGATAGATAGATAGATAGATAGATAGATAGATAGATAGATAGATAGATAGATAGATAGATAGATAGATAGATAGATAGATAGATAGATAGATAGATAGATAGATAGATAGATAGATAGATAGATAGATAGATAGATAGATAGATAGATAGATAGATAGATAGATAGATAGATAGATAGATAGATAGATAGATAGATAGATAGATAGATAGATAGATAGATAGATAGATAGATAGATAGATAGATAGATAGATAGATAGATAGATAGATAGATAGATAGATAGATAGATAGATAGATAGATAGATAGATAGATAGATAGATAGATAGATAGATAGATAGATAGATAGATAGATAGATAGATAGATAGATAGATAGATATAGATATATCTATATATATATGAAGCTATATGAAGCTTAAAATATATTGGGTCATGTTTCAGAAATACAATGGAGTTAAATCAAAAACAGTTTCAATTCTAAAATCTTTCAGACTATGTAAATTGCTTGTATATTTAGTAGTGTGAAATGTCAACTCTCTAATAAAGTGTCGACTAAAAATGATGGCAACAATCACATTTTCTAGAGAGAAACAGGCTACCTGCATGTTGGGGACAACATAGCATCCCTCTTGCAGACTGAACGTCTTCCTCCATTTGGACAAACAAAGCTTTCTGAAGCATCTGATCTCAGGACTCAGTGTTACATAATCCACATGACTCAATACAAATAGCAAATGCATGTCATCGGTCTGATTTCTCAGTGTAAAGCACTGGCTCTGTTGCTGGACAGCAGAAAAATCCTGGCATCAAATCAAATCCTCCTCATTTGCTTTTATCTGTCACTTCCTGACAGTGACGATTCTGCAGCCGCCCAGGGCGGCATCTGGCAGGGGACAACATAAGATATGAGAGGTCACCCACGGTCCCCGCTTGTCTCTCAGGGTCCTCAAATCGTAAACCCAAATATTAGCTTTGATAAATCAAACACATTTTCTCATTTCCTTGCTGTTATCTGCCGATGATCAAACAAACTTAAGAAATAGGAATCAAACTTTTTTCATATTTTCCAGTTTAAAGTTCAATTTGTTTGCACAAACAAATTGAAGGTTTTCATTCAACTTTTTCTCCACACACATTTTTTGAGAGAAAATGAGGCCAAAATCACAACAGCAACAAACTGCCAGTGTAAAAGTTGTTTTCATGACGCATTTTGCTCCAAACCAGCAAGCTGATTATTCTTTCTACTTTCTGAATGTTTCCTTCTGAAATAATTCCCCCCATTGTATGAATAGCTTTGAGCAGTACTAGATAAAGATTCCAGCTCATCCACATTACAGACAGGGGTTTTTATTTCATTTAAAGTCCAGGCTGATTAAAGTGAATAAGATTCAAAAACAGCTGTAGCTCCGAGTTTGCATCAACTTACAACCTGAGACCTTTGATCTACTTCTGAAAAAAAAAAAAAAATTCCTCAAGGCTAAATGCAGTTGCATGCTGTTGAAAGACAACATGCTCACAGATGAGTGAATGCACTTTAATTCAGTGCCGCTAATTTTGTTTCCCGGAGTTCTGGCACTGGATGCAAGACAAGCCGGGCAGGAGGCCAATGAGGTGATGGTTGAGGTCCCACGATTATTGCTACGAAGGTCAGCTGAACATAAAAGTTCATGACCACATGCTGGAAACAGCCGTCATGTGACAGGCAGGTTACTGCAGGAGGATTATACTTAAACAGAATGAACAAGTTGAAATTACAGCAACAACAAAAACAACAATATATTAATGTGTTGTTTAAGAATCAAAGTAGTTTTAGTTAATATCAAGCTTTTAAGCAACTTGTTTAAAGGATTTCACATTACTCAAAACTGTACATATTTACACTGAATTGTAGTTTTGATGAATATATATAGTTTTAACCACAGCATTTTGATTTTATATAAACATTGCTCTGTTTTATTTAAGAACATTATAGTAATATTGAGCGATGGACTTGCAACCTGACCAGGGTGAACTCCTCATCTCCAATGGCCGCTGGAAATAGAAACCAGGCTTCCTGCACTAATGCAAGGATAAACAGGTTTGGATGATGATTGATTGAATAGAAAGCAATGTTTTGCCAGTTAGTGTGCTTGACAAGACGCATCAATCTTTATTTATAGGGTTTTCACAGCAATAAACTGATAAGACAGTGAAGCGATTTATAGTGAGCTCAAGAAAAAGAACTTAAATGTTACAAACTGAATGAACCACAGAGGAAACGTTGGAGACAAACCAACAAGACCACTGGGAGAGTTACAGGAAGATCTGACTAAAATGGCAAAAAGATAAATCGAAATACAAATAAACAGTATAAACATGTAGGTGATGATTAGAATAATGAATAAGTGATCGATGCACTGATGCAGAAAAGCTGTGAAGGGAGAAAAGAGTTGAGACACTGAGACAAACCAATGAAAGATGACTAGCAATTTAAATATCATAAGAAAAGTGGGAGCAGAAAAAGACTTGCACACTGAAAGAGTTATGTAAATAAATGTAAAACACACATGCACAAGAAAAACGGCAAAATACCAAACCCCAAACGGAAAACTCAAAAGAAGTTCTCATGTCCGGTAAGAACATTCGCCCTGAACTTATCCTGGAGAATCCTAAGGTAATCCCAGTCTACAGGAGATTAATATTCTCTTCAGAAAGTTCTGGTTCAGGTCCAGAACTGAGGAGTTCCCTGAAAGCGTCCAGAGAGATGTGTCTTCATGTGATGCAAACTCCCAGTGGATTACCCCATCTCCACTGATAAGGCCAGTCACCCTGTGAAAGGAGTTCATTTCAGCGGTTTATATCCTGCTGGCTGAAGAGCCGTTATCCTTCTTCGAACATGTCAACACTTTCTTCGAAAAGCAGTGACAGCATTTGTTTTTCCACCCCTGGTGCTGCAGTTCGGATCCGATTGGTCTGGGCTTTGCAGGGGAGAGACTCTGACTTGAGGAGGAGAGGGAGCCGAGGAGGAGAGTGAGTCCGACGCCAGAGCGCCGCGGCGGAGATTTACAGGCTCCCTGGAGAGACTCTCATAAGTTTGCAGAAAATGCCTCTTGATTTTTATGATCTTCCAGGACTTATTTCCAAATCTTATTTCTAGGAATGGTTTGTTGGTTTGCACAAAACAGATACAGTGAGAGCAGAGAGAAGTAAACAGCAACTTCTCCCTGCAGGTTTCATCCTGCTATTTCACGCAAACACTTCATAGAAAGAAACAAGTTCAAATACTTTTCATATGTACACAGCTGTGAGTTTAGTTCATGTGGTTTTCTTAATCAGATGCAGTTGAGCCCAGAATTATTCAGACCCCTCTGCACTGTTGATGTAACATTAGAGATACTTTTACTTCACTGTTTTACTCCTTACTCTTTGGCACTTTTGCTTAGAAGACTTGTTCCTCTTTTAATTAAGAGCAAGAAATTTGTATGACATATTTCAGTAACAGATCAACTTTATGTCTGAGGCATGCAAACAGGTCACCAGTCTTTGTGGGTTGATGTGGTCAGTCCAGACAGCTTGAACTTTTCTGTACACGTAGTGATTTTTCATTCCGGTCTTTTTGTGGTAGTTTAGTAGAGAACATGAGCATCTGTGAACGTTTGCTTATGTTCAGCTTCTGTAATAGACTGATGGCTGGTTCAGGTTGTGCACCATCTCTGACTCCAGAGTAAAGAAAGATCAAAATGAAAAATCCTCCGTTGTTGAATCCCATTATGGTGGTTTAAAATGATGACACTTTGTCGTCTGACTCTTTGTTATGCAGTGAATGCAGTGAATGCATCCAGTGAATGCATTGCATTCACTGGAGATGGCAACGGATGGCCTGCACACAACTTGAGGTAGATTTTTAAAGCTTTGGTGTCGCTCATTAAATCGGGCCAATAACTGGATATCAAGGAGTTTTTACTTTTTGCGGGATAGTTGTTGTTTGCGGCTGGTCTATGCAAACCTTTTGGAACAAGGAGATGAAACCATTTGGCCCAGTAAGCCTTTAGTCCCACTGCCTTTTGGAAGCAGACATCCAGAGAGACAGACGGGAATCCCTGTTGCTGGAGGAGACACATGCGAGTCAACTAGAGTGCAAAGGAAGAAAAACTCCAGTATTTTTATGAGTGTAATCAGCCTGAAAATATGCCTGGCTTACATCTTCTTCTGGGCAGCTTTCTCTTCGACTGACTTCAGCTTCCTTCCTCTGAAACTGTGGATGTTCACTTCTGAGCAGCGAGTTTGTGAATTTAGCACTTTCTTTTCACTTGTAAAAAATTTAATGAACACATAAGGCTCTTATATGGGGTTTATTGTACAGCGAAGTTTTGTGAAATGTCAGAAAATGATCAAATCTCATTTTATAAAGAGTGAAAGAAGCCGATCCCTCGATGGTAAATCTCTCAGTGCTGATAATATGACATGGCCAGATGTCTTATCTTTTTGGATTTACTTTCCTAAGTATTCAGGCTTGGAAAACTTGTCAAGCCAAGTCAATGTTTTTGTCTAGATGATATAATCACTCGAGGATCTGATCAGCTCCAAAGCATCTGTCAGCAGAAGGTGAACTTGAGCTTCCTGACCACCACATTTAGCCAACGTAAATACATTTTTAAAGACTCTTTCATCTGATTTCAGTTCATTAACTTCCTCCAGTTTCCAAGCATTGTTTGGTAACTTTCCAGCTTTTTTCACAAGTCACTGGAAATCTCTTTGACGGGAGAAATGGCCGACAGCAGCGCTGGGGTTACATATGGCCTCCTTTGCATTAAAGACAGCTCTCCACTTTATTTGTACTGGATGCTTTGAAATCTCTTAAAGGTTTTGTATTTCATCACTAATAAACCTGAAGCATCTGGTAGAGAGAGAAGAGGATAACATTTATCATAAAATAAGTGATTACATTTTCTGTGATAAGTGCAGCAGCCTTTGACAGACAAAAATGCATTTTTTTTATTATTATTTATTTTCTCTTTTTCTTTTTTTTATAATTTTTCTATATCTCACAAATTGTAGGAAATAGGCTGCTAACAATAAAAAAACAGATAATAAATGGACCAAATTTCTTGTGTACTTCACATTAATTAAAAACTCTCCCCTGTAGACAGAGAACTGGTGCAACATTTTCAAAATATAAAATTCTTTAAAACTATTTAGTTGAAACAAATTCAGCCATTTGTGGGCCGGGATGAATCCCAGATGTTTCAGGATCATGACAACACCTCTGAGAATCACCGAAGGCCTATTATCTCCTCATGTGACTAAAAGTTGTTAAATGACTCTGCACTTAACACCACTTATTTCGTAAACGTTTTCCAATCAAATGTTCAGGGGAAAATAAAAAAATAATCTTTCCCAGCCCGCAGCTGGAAGAACACAACACTTGAAATCAGAACTTTAAGTGATATTTGGACAGCTATTAACATTGTCTCCCTGACTTATTTGTGTGAGTTGTGATGTTCATCGATTGTTTTTAATTTATTTTATTCTTTTAATGAATGCCACATTGTGTTTATAACTTTTAGAGGTATTGTTAAGTTTATTGTTGTCCTTGCAGTGCCTCAACTCCTGTTTTGTGCTTGGTTGAAGTTTGCAGAATGTTTCTTTTTGCTTTTTCTGGCCTGTAATGATGTTATTAGTGACCTAACATTTTGTTGAGACACAGGATTCTGGACCAGGCACTTTTGCTCTGTCTATCCTGGTTTTCTGATTGCATTATTTTCAGGGAACAAGATGAACATGTCAGCTGCTACGCTGTTGACACCCACAATTATTAATTAATTATTCCTTACTGACCAAATGAGTAAGATAATCTTCCATCTGCTTTTATAGGTTCAAATTATGTTTCAGAATTTTTTCTTCTTCCCCCCACTCATATTTGGTACAATTGGTACAGTTTCATTACTTTTAGATAGAATTGGTTTTCTGGACTACAGCGATGAAACGATGGACATAGGATTGTCTTTCCGTCAACAGGCCTTTGGAAAAGCAGCTTTTTTCCAGCATCTTGCGCTTCCTGTACCAAGCAAGAG